ATGTATATATATATATATATATATATATATATATATATATATACATACATTTATATATATATATATATGAAGCTCCCCACGTTGCCGTAGACTCTAAATGAATTCCAAACATATTTATGCTCAAGCTACACAGAGGCGGCCAAGCGTTTCAGTGTGGCAGGCAAATACTTACTTTACTCTTTGGTTGCAGGGTTCACATATTATAAACTAGTACTCACGCGGCAATACTTCCGCGGCCGCCTCTGTGTGGCCAGAGCATTAATGTTAATGTTGTAAGCACGGCAGATGTCATTTTCTTTTTTTTTAACAGTATTTTTTGAGAATAAAAATGCAAGGCGGCTCGAATTACGTGTCCAGAAGTGTAAACTATATAAATAGGCAATTTATTAACATTCTACGTTTTTGCGTCCTCTTAGAATTATATAACTACAAACGACTACTAGACGCTACTGTCAATATGCTGTCAAACTATATAGGTAGCCAATTAGCAACATTATGTAAGTACATAGATCATAATGAGCAGTGGGTACTTAGTACTTTGGAAATCCAGCTTGTGAGTCCTGTGATCTGCAAAGAAAAACTTCTAAATAATGATGACTTTCTGTTCTATATTACAACACTATATAGTAACAAGTAGCAACAATATCGGAATATTTACACAGATGGATCCAAAACCAAAAATAAACTAAAACTGCCTATTATGATTCGACTGCTAAATTTGGCCGCTGCTTTAATCTGGACAAGAATACTTCGATATTTACAGCTGAAGCTTATGCTGTATATGCGGCACTTCAATATTTATCAAACATCAATCACTCCTTTTTCCTGATCGTAACTGATTCCTTAAGTGTACTGAATTGCCTGGAGAGTCATAAAATATCTTACAAAACTAATATCTATATCATTAAAATCAGACAATATTTATATGAAATTAAAGTTAAACGTATAGAATTTATATGGGTGCCATCACATTCAGGAATAACGGGGAATGAAGGTGTGGCTAGTCTAATGAAAATTAATGTACGAAACATTAATGAAATTGATCCATCATCGTATTATTATTCACCGCCATCAGTTCCTATGACCGATTACTACTCAGTACTGAAGACTCGTATGTTCGATATTTGGTCACGAGATTGGCAATACACGAAACAATTGAAAGGAAAATGGTATGGAGAAATACAGAAGAATATTCCCCCGAAACCCTGGTACTTTAACTTAAAATCACCATCAAGAAAATTTATAACAACCATCAGCAGATTACGCTTTGGACATGGAAAATTCGCAGCTCATTTGAAAAGATAAAAACTTAGAAATTCAGCCACATGTGAACATTGTAATACTGATGAAGCCACTCTCGATCACTTACTTCTACATTGCCCTGCCTTCTGTGTGCAAAGACTGCTTCTTATAGATGGCCTACTAAAGATATAAGAAGAATATATCCCCCGCCTCTTGCCATCTTTACTACAGAATACGAAGACTTATGAACATTTATTCCGATGCCGTAAAACTAATATTAAAAAAAAAATAGCCAATTAGCCACAGACAACACAGATGTCATTGATTGTCATTGATGTCAACATAACCACATTTTAACTCGTATTATCGCATTAATTTCTTAATTTTGATTGTTTTGTATAGTAATATCATGCCATAATATTATCTCGTTGTTCGGGCTACGTATTCTAGTGTCTTGTCTCTTCCACTACTCCTTAAATTTGGCACAAAAGATCTTTCATTCTATCAAACCGATTGCCGTCGATCTCATGTATTATAGTATTTGTGTTTACAGTTGAACGTTATTATTTAACCTTACTATGGCGGACAAGAAAAAGAAAGTTTTTGCTTCGAAAGTAAGTATATATTAGTACCAAAAGATTGTACCGGACAAACCAATGTAGGTTTAAGGGTGTGATGTATATATATTTTTGTAATATTCTTAGTGTTTAAAATAAATAAATAAATAAATAAATAAATAAATACCATCACAAACTACTTTTATAGGAAAACTTATTTAAAAACTGTTTTTAGGATCTTGCAACGCCGAGACGGCCAGTAATACTGAAATCAGATCGTGAGACTCCTAAAGAGCCAGCTAAAGAGAAGCAAGAGATTCAACCTACTATAATACTGAAGACAAGAGAACAAAGTACACCTAAGGAGGAACGCCCACTAAGTCCTAAAACTTTAAAGGCTCAGTCGTTAGAAGCCGATGGCCCTCATATAAGTAAAATTGCCCAAAACGAGAATAAGGAAAAAAAGACTATAGGTATGATAATTTTGATCTATTGCTTGTAGTCACCGAAACTCAAACCCTTAGAAAATAATAATGTAACTTGAGTTACGTGCACTGTGGAATAATCCAACTATATTAATAACTAATAACTACACATAACTTACAAGTTATGTGAAATGTTGCACTTTTTTCTTAATTGTTTATATTTATTGCAATGTATCTTTATTTAAGAGCTAGGGTTCTTGTTGGAGTAATCACTGACTATCTCTGTTCAGTGCCCTAACTTTGAGTTCGCTTTTAAGAAAACTAGTGACATATTAGTTGCCCAAACATATTTCCCCTTCAGGGGGTAGATTCAAAACCTTACGTTAACTCAGTTGTCGACCAATTTGATTTCATATCATACAATTTCCTTTCATTTTTATTCATAACACCCAAATCTAACGTCAAACTGTAGTTTTCAAATCCTCACGATTACTTAGAACTTTTTTTAAAAACAAAAAACTCAAAGTTCTTGACCGGCAATGACTACAAACGTTATTCAGAACAGAGTTATCAAAATAAAGTTAGCGAACGTCCTATTGTTTACAAAGCAAGAATGTAATATGGAAATCTGTTATTTTTTTAAATAAAGTCTGGATTTTGTTCAATTTTATTAATTTATTTTAATGCAAGACTAATCCATTCCTATATTTTAGGAATTTTCTTATAATCTATTTCACCGCCTAACTCCGTAAATACTGTTCGATAATGGTATTATGTCTGAATCCAAATTGAACTTTTAACTCGTATGTTCTGAATAGCTCGGGAAGCGCCCTTCGATTTGAGATCAACATAGATCGAACAATTGGTTAAAATATTGAAGACCAGTTCTATATTGTCTCTAACAGAGAACAAAAGAAATTCTCGAAATTCCTAATACTTGATTTATTTGGAATTAGAAATCTAGAAATTTACAGTTTAAGCCATCATGGGACATTACAAACAGATTTTAAGTGTGGGGGCGAACTGACATTGCCTTGTGTTCTCTAAACTACAACAACATGGAGATATTCCTGTCTAATTTGCCAGTCATAAAATCACACACTTTGTGCTGAATCTTTCCTGTTTTATAACAAACGCGGGAACACTAAAATCCGTTGCCCACCGTACCGAACTTGCAACTAGAAATCCGCGGGTCCCCGATTCTACGAACATCTACCCACAGACCTGAAAAGTGTTAGAAACGATGAAACGTTTTGTACCCGACTAAAAATCCTTTTATTGGATATTGAATTGTACAGTGTCGATGAGTTTCTTTTGAAACAATTTTAATTTTATTTTATTCGACAAGCAGTAGTTATACTACTTTATTTTATATTCATTATTATTATTATAATTTTATTACTGACGATCATAGTTATCCCTTGACATTATATTTCCAATTGTAATATTGTGACATTGATAACATGAAATAAACGATTCTATTCTATTCTATTCTATTCATTTCCAGAACAAAAACCTCCACCTCCTTTGAAGCTGATGACTGAGCCCATCAAATTGCTGGATGAAAACTTGGAGTTTAATAATGCTGCACTTGAGTTTCTGCAGGACTCCAGCACTAATTACTTAGTAGTTGGAATAATAGGTAAAAAATATCTATCAAGTACCTTTTAGTATTATAAATTATTTTATTTAAGCTCTTGACTAGAGATGGTAGCCTGCTGAGTCAATTTTAGCTTCTCAATTGAGAGGTTGCCATTTGAATGTGACAACAAGTCCGTTAAGCAATATCTCTGGTTAATAGTGAAGAAAAACGTCGTGATGAGACCTGCATGCCATAGTAGGTTCACAGCCCTTAGAAAACCAGAATGCCATCATCCAGGACTTTGGCCTATAACCTCTTCTCACAGGAAACCCATGCTTGGATGCGAATCGTTGATAGAATTTGACTTTAATTCATTTCCAAATATAAGTTTTTGCTTGTTTCTATTACCCGATTCATTTCTCTAAATAGTTAAAATCTAGCACTTAGTCCAGCCCTGTTTGCTAATGTGATGATTAGGGCTATCATCACAGGAATCTCGGTCTCGAAAATGTCGATATTTTTTTCTTTGAGTCTCGATGATTTTTTTGCCATTTTCGAGACTCGAGACTGATGTTTTTAGTCGAGACTTGAAATTTAAGTCACTTCATTAAACAAATCTATCTCTAAATCTATCTTCACTAAACCAACAGAATTTTTTATTTTGGTTACAAAGACATGGTAATACTGTAATTATACAGTGAGCTTAGTATAATCTGTGAACATTGAAGAAAGATAGTAATAAAATTAGATCCTCTCTCTAGAAATGTGTCAGGGTGACACGTGCAGTGTCAGTGCCCCTCAGATCTTTGTGATTTAAAGTACTGAGTGGTGCTGTAACTGTTATTGCCAGGTGTGTCGCTTACCACCAGGTGCACGGCTTGTTCGTCACATCACTTACTATCATAAAAAAAAGTTATATTAAACGCCCTTTGTCGCTTCCGTGCCCAACTATAAAAACGAAAAAACTTTCAGCTTTTTTTATAATTTGAGTTAATAAAAAACTTGATTATCATATTTTGACTGCCTAAATGCCTATCCTATAAATGTAGAAACCTACTTTTGAAATAATCGCTAGCTTTTTCCGGAATTTTCAAGACCGCACCGAGCATCGTTTTTTTACTAAAATAGTGATGACCCATCGAAGACATATGTTGAGCTTTATTTCTGTTCCACACGTCACAGTAAAAGCTTTAAAAAATAATGACCGTGCATGCGCCAAAATTATAAATACAATTTATTTTTTGACATCACAATCATGAATACAATAAGACAGTGCGAACAAACCAAATCACCATTCTGTATATGTCTCGACGTAAATAGCAACAGCTGGACTGCCACTTTAAATAATATCTTCTGTGGGTAGGGCTTAATTACTCATCCAGGCAGTGCCTATTTTCTTTTATAATGATGTACTACTTTCAGGCACTCAAAGTGTAGGCAAGTCAATGATACTAAACCTGATTGCCCTAAATACTCCTACTGAAGACCTCTGTTCTCAAATACTTCACTCCCATGAAACATCTGACAGTCAGTACGAAATGAATGAAACTGCAATCGACTCTCAAATGGAAATTCTTGAGTTTGCCGATATCCACGAGAGCAAGAAAAAGGTTGATAACATCTTTAAATTCAAAATGCAGGATATTGAACAAATTGAAAGAGGGGTTCACTGTACTAAAGGTAAGATTCTTTTTGTTCACGCGCTCACACAAAGCCACCAAAAAAAGTAATTTCTACATAGAGTTTTGTTCTGCATAACGCTTTCACCACCCTAACTTTGCATGGTTTACATTACGAACATAATAATGCTATCAAAGTAACGCCAGTGACATGCACTATTTTAACCTTTTAAAAAACTAGCTATGCCCGCGATTGCATACGAGCAAGCAAGTATCAATTATGTGTCCTACTAATACATAAAAAAGGGACTCTATTAGGCGGTTATTACGTAAATTGAGAGTTGACCTTGAAGATCGTTGCACCTGTAGCCATCTCGAAGAACAATCTTTGAAATAAAAAAATCGTAGTTTTTTTTGTTTATTTATTACATTTAAAGCACTAGAAAACAAAACATTCCAGTATAACATAAACTTAACTAAGTTTTTCCGTATTTCGATTCATCATTTAACTGCCTCCGTGGCCGAACGGTTACCATGCCGGACTGCCACGCAGAGGTCCCAGGTTCGATTCCCGGGCCGGGAGAAATATTTGTATGGCCTACATTTATTTCTCTCGTGAGTTTGGGTGTAATTTGTAATTTGTGTGTGTGTCCATGGCACCCGCGACACAGGGTTTCCCTAGTGCGGGGCTATGTTGATTGTGAGCGTTATTATTTATTTATTTATTCTTTCTGGAATAAAACCACATACAAATCTCGTCAGAAACGCAACGTCAGATTTATGACACCCCACTTTTCCCCGAGATTTAGTGGGTTATATAAAACAACAATTATTATGTATACAATGGTATCGCAGAGTGGTGAGCGAATGTTTTAGTTAAGACTAGAATACAAAACTAACATAACTATAAGTGTGTGTATCTAACAAATTATGGATTCAAATTATCCGAAATAAATAAATGGTTATTTTTATTAATTTAAATAAAAATAACATTTTTTTAATTTAAAAATAAGTGTGCATTTGACTTCCATCTCATCTGATGGAAAGTGACGATGCTGTCGACGATGGAGCACGCACACCTAAATAATGCCTATTCACTCTCGCCTTGTCAAAGCCCAAGTTATAACGTTCAGGGAAGAAGTCTGCAGGCAGGGAATTCCACTCCATAGCTGTTCGCCATACAAATGTGGAAACGAAACGTTTCGTGCGAATCCTTGGAATATCCACAACATAGGGATGAAACCCAGCCTACGTCTGGTCCCCTGATGATGGAAAGGGGAAGGCGGAATTAATTCGTGTAATTCCCTCGCACACTCTCCGTGATGTATCCTGTAGAATACCGATAAGCAGGCAACTTTACGGCGGTGTTCAAAGCTCTGCTTCTCCGCTACTAATTTCGGGTCACCTATAAGCCTCTTGGCACTCTTGTCGATAGAATTCAAGGTGGCCAGTTGGTATGTAGCAGAGCCCTCCCATAGGTGCCAAGCTTTTTGGCCATGTATTATATGTATGTGCCGAAGTTAAAATTGGACGACAGGTCTATTCCAAGTAGCTGCAGACAGTCGGCTATCGGTATGGATATATCACGAAAAGTCGGAGTCAGGTCAAAGGGACTCCGTTTTATGGAGAATAGACACGCTTGCGTTTTAGTAACGTTAAATTTGACAAGATTGGCATCGCCCGAATCGGAGACCGCCTTAAGTGTCAAATCCAAACAACTAACCATGGACTCTCGACAAGACTGGATTATCTCTCCACTGACCCTTGCATTGGTCAAGTACCTGTCTATAACTGTGGTGTAGTCAGCATACGCGCAGGTACCTGGTATTAACATATCATTGATATGCAGCAGAAAGAGAGTTGCAGACAGTACGAAACCCTGAGGAACTCCGGTCGTCCCTCGATGTTCGGAAGAGTAGCCTTCTAAGACCACCCGAATCGAACGTTCCCAACTTTTGTAATTTCCCAACATTTTGTGTTAGATCGTATTAAATGGTAATGCAATTACCTGCATACACGTTACGGAATTAAAATAATTTGCCGAAACGATTGTGGAGATTAATAACATCCGTCCAAAATTTACGAACGCAGACTATTAATTTAGCTAAATATTTTATGACTTGTATCCATAAAAAAAATATATATATATTCATTCTTACACGTGACTTTACCTGCTTAGTAATTTGCTTAAAAGAAGCACAATATACCTTATAATAAATGTATAAGACACTCATTGAGTATGAATATTCGATGAATACACTCAAGAGCATATTTAAAGGAACGCTGAAAAAGGGTTGAATTATGATAACAATCAATGAATCACTGGCCACATACACCAGAACGTTTAATTTGAATTTGAATTTGAAATAAGTTTAAATAATAACCTTTTATAAAAAAACCGACCTCAAAAGTTGGTGGAATTGCATCAGTTTTGCATGCAGTTTTATTGAAATCGATTACCAAAAAGTGCACTAAACCGGATTCATCCGGTTTTTCTAGTACTCTGTACTGATTCTTAGTATAAATAACTACATTCTCAATTTTTTTTAAGCTTAACCTGAATCGGGAATTGAGTCAACTAAATGAATATCAGGATGTTTCAATCACCGCGATATTCAATTATGTTTTTGGGATATTACTCCACTACTTTGTTATAATTATTAATACAAAGATCGGACACTAAGAAAAAATCCTTCGATCCGGCTGGATTCGAACCAGCGTCTTCCAGTAAACCATGCTAGATGCTATGCCACCTAAGCCATGGAACGAACCAGCGGACCTTACGAATTGTTCTATGTGCATGTTGCAGATTTTTAACGATTCAGTTTTTAACGATTTTTTTTGCGTTAGCGCCATCTGTGGAAATCTATTTCTTCACTTAGCCAGGTACCTTTTTAGCTACCAGCAGCTGACTAGAGTTGTCGCTTAAACTATTGTAACTAAGTTTGTTGAATGTCAGGATGTTCCAGTAAGATATTAATTTTTTTGTGAAATTGCTCCGCTAGTTATAATTATTAATACAAAGATCGAACACTAAGAAAAACCGACCGAGCACGCACTTAGCAAGGTTTGCTGGAACACGCTGGCTCGAATCCATCCATCATCATTCAGTCATTTTTTAAACACCGAGCGAACGCTCAATTCTATAATGAATGTGGCTTGAGATGACCCGCACTAGCAAGCATGAGTACACCACGAATTATGCAAATCTGTGCATCTGTATAAGCACGCGACGGGTGCGCACACATACAAGCCACGCTGCTACGAATATATGGAATTACCCTGCCTTATTATACTATTTAGTAGCAGTAGAGCTCCTTGTGAAAGAGTTCGTCCAGGTTAGTACTGCCACTTTGCCTATTTCTGCCGCCAAGCAGTAATGTCAGCATTACTGTGTTCCGGTCTTGAAGAGTAAGGATGCTGTTGAAATTGCAGGCTCATAAGACTTTCAACTTACGGCTCAGGGTGACGGGCGCAGTGGCAGTACCCCTCAGATCTTTGCGACTTAAAGCTCTGAGTGGCACTGCAAGTGTTATGAACAGGCGTGTAGCTTATCATCAGTCCATTACTTGATATTATATAAAAAAATATTAATAATTCAGTCATTTTTTAAACACCGAGCGAAAGCTTCAATTATATAATGAATGGAACTTGGGACGACTCGCAATACAAAACGTGAGTACACCGCGAGTCATGCGTATATGTATAAGCACACGACGGGCACACACACAAGTCACGCTGCTACGATTGTATGGAGTTACCCTGTGCTATTAGACTATGGTACTGTCGTATAAAAACAGCATTGATTTCAGTTTTCTCATTTCAGGCGTAGACATGTACGTAACAACAGACAGAGTGATCCTCCTCGACTGCCAAGCTTTATGGTCACCGTCGCTCATCGATGAGACTAACACGAACCCAGTGACATCACGGAGTGCCAATGTCGTCACCGTCGACTGCCTGCAGGTCGCCTCCTTTCTGATGGCCATATGCCATGTTGTTATAGCTGTGCAAGATTGGTTCACTGATTACAATATTTTAAGGTAGGTAGGTAACTTTTGTCGGCAACATATTAGGGGAGGCTGAAATGTAATCTGTTTTGACTGTTTCCAATAAAAAACTACATTATAAATACAAATCTTTGTATTTATAATGTAGTTTTTTCTATGGTGTTTGCCTACAAAAAAACGCGCACTGCTCTATACGTTTATCGAATACGCAACGGACTTGTCAATCAAATCGAATGAAGTTTAACGTATTCGGTGTGCAGTGACGCATGGTATTAATACATCTCTTTCACACGGCGCGAAATCAAACTTTTTTTATCGAATAGTCACCTAAGCGGCGTTTAGTATTGAAGTATCTTTTGGAAGGAGGGCAAATTGGGGTAATTCTATTGTAAAGGAAGTTTTACTTTAGAATTACGTATAATTTTCTATTTCTCTTATTACTTACACTGTGCTCGACGGTTTACACATTAAATATTAGTAACGTAAGGCACAACTAAACATCTTTTTGCAATATTTCTTAATGTAAAGAACATGCTATATTTATACTGGGTATTCCTAAATTTTAATAATACCAATCGATTGAGCGGGACCTTCCGAATCCAATGATTCCCTTACGTTAATTGATACTACTGGTTGATAAGTGTATTTCCCTTGCAGGGGCGTTGAAAAAAGTCGAGATGATCATCTTTTATTTCCTACTTAGGTACTATTCAGCAGTACATACTTATTTCCACTGTCATTTTCCGATAAAGTAAAAAAGTATTTTACGCAATCGTTGCATAATGAGGGCTCTTAAAAGTCAAGCACCGTGTTTAGGCCAGGAGGCTTTGCCACGTGGCCTAAGTACGAGATTTGAAGACCTTATTATGTAAAGATTGAATACAACACTAAACGTTTTCTACGAGTAAATACAATAATGAAACACAACCAATATTTAACGTATATTTTCTTAACAATCCATGGCAACAAACTCAAAGGAAACAAACACTACAAAACAAAAAACCAAATGGCCAAGGAAGTGGCCAAGTACCGCTTAGATTTATATATTTTTAATAACCAATATTTTTTTATAAAAGTTTGTGGCCCGGTTGCAAGACTCGGTTCAGTAGCGAGTACCATAGGCAATAGAATTTTGATTCAGAACTAAAAAGAGCGCCTTTGTGATATGGTTTATGTAATTATTATTGGCACTTATTTATTAAGTATAGGAGAAGGAAAAAGTTTTTAACACTTCAGCTAATTGTACAAAGATTTTTAAACTTAAGGATTAGTTTTCATCAAAGCTAATCTTTATACCTAAATGCAGTTACTAACAGAAGCTTAAGCTTGCAACTTTGGTGCATAATAATATACCCAGAACTTTACTCGTATTACCATTTTGAGTACTGCCACCTTACCTATTTCTGTCGCCAAGCAGTAATGTCAGCATTACTGCGTTCCGGTTTTAAAGGGTAAGGGCGCTGGTGAAATTACAGACATATGGGACTTGTCGACTTATGTCTCAGGGTGGCGGGCACAGTGGCAGGCAGTGTTTATAGAGGCGTGTAGTTTACCATCAGGCGCACGACTTCTTCGTCCGGTCACTTGATATTATATGAAAAAAAAAATCTTCAACACATTATACGTCACAATGCTGGGACACGGGCCTCCTGCTAAGGAGAGGGTTTAACCAATGACTCCCAAAGTGGTCAAGCTTGTCGCCTCCATCAGCTGCCAGCGGCCTTTCGCAGATCATCACTCTATTCAGTCAGAGGAGATGACCATATTTTTAGAATAAAGATTTTCGTGGCACAATGTGTCCCTGAAAAATGTTTAAAGCAGTCATATCTTACAACGTTACCAGGTATATACAAACGGCAGAAATGCTCAAGCCGTCTCTCTCGGCATCAAGCTCTGTCGCCAGTCAAGAGAGCTCTGAGTCCACGGCCAGTGGGGAGAGCAGCCCTCATCTCCTGCTGTTACAGAATAGATGCCAACTTGAGGACTTCACTCCAGAAGCTGTTAAAATAATGCAGGATGTTTACAGGTACGTATTATTGGAAGTATTCTACATTTAAACCTGGATTTCTCGGTCGTTTTCAGAGAAACCTTAAACGTGTAAACAGCAATAATGTCGCCTTTAACGACACTATATGGAATATCATCACCATTATCTCAACCATTTAACACCCACTGCTGGGTATAGTAATGTGACCATGTTTCGAGCGGGATAGTCCCACAACAGAACACACGTAACACATTTTTTTTTAATAGCGCCAAAGCGAAAAATATATAAAACCAGCTAACCAGACATCGAGCACCAAACTACACAAGATTAATATTTTTTTAAATTTTTTATTCGTTAAATAATTTTAGTTATTTTTATTTATTTTTTTATCATTAAACATTTCGTAACTATTATAAACATGTCTTTTCTTTTTAAAACAATAATAAATTTACAGGCGTCCCGTTCTGAGTAAATAATGGTCACGTTAGGTATAGGTCCCCCTCCTTTGCACGCCAGCTCAATCGGTGACGTGTGTGTCTCATCCACAGTCTTCCGCCAATTCTGACGATATCGTCCGACCATCTTGCAAATGGTCTGCTTCGACGCCGTTTTGCTCCTACCAGGTACCACGTCGTCATCTACGACTTTTGTGCGCTGTCGTATCTCCACGTTGGGTATGCGATCGACGAGAGAAATGCCGAGCATGGCGTGCTCCATTGCTCTTTGAGCTACTCTGATTTTGTACAAGTATGGGCAGGACGCATTGATTATAAACTTCAGTTTTCAGTGTGTTGTTTTATATTGAATATAGCAAATACAAATAAAAGCTTATTTCTGGTTCCAGAAAAGCTTTCCAAAAATCCAACCTACAGCTGAACTCCGGAATGTACCTGTACAGTGACACGAATAAAAATGGTCTCAACGTAGACAAAGTATGCAAGAGCTATAGTGTGGACACCTGTGGAACTCCTATCAATTTGTTCTTATTGCCTGAAATTTATCCTGATTATGGTAAGAAAATTTTACATTACTCATTCAACACACCCCGACAATAAATAAATATTAAGGCCCAATTGTACGTTATCGCCTCGATATATCGCGAAGCTATTAATGACTAATATTCATCGTTGCATGAACGTTACTCATGTTGTCATGAAATATGCCCCTACCACGAGTTTACAAAGACAGTTGTCGCTAGCGACTGCGTATAATATATTTGACAATTTTATATGGGCAATAGGCAATCGGACTATAATAACAAAATAATATTTAGGTATTTAATATGGTAGGTATATAATATTTAGGTAGTCTGCTGACTAAAACTGCAGATTTGTAATTAGCACTTTCACCTGTAAGTTAACATATATTTATTGTTAAAAAGTTGCTGTAAATCTCCCAAAAATAAATAAATAAATATGTTATGCAAACACAAACCACACCACTTGACGTCATACGTAGGTAAACAAAGAAACGTCACCGTATGCACTGTTCGCCTATTATCTTGAGGTATTTTGTTCGTTTAATCGATTTTTGACTAAAAACCACAGCAAGTTGGATTGAGGCCAGTAGTCGATTAATACGTAAAATTCTCACACGTTTCAAGTGCATAAATTTATCTACTTTGTTTACCTACCAATGACGTCTCGCTCTCTTCGTTGACATATATTGAAACATTGTATTTCAAAATAACATTTTTATTGACTGTATAAGTATATAAATATCCGTTATGATTCGTTTTAAAAACTAAGTTGCCCTATGGTAAAGCGCCTTTAGCGGTCACAAGAAGGAACTTTTTGTACATAAACATTTTACGACATAAACATTTTACGACATTGACCTACCAACAGTTGTTGTTGGTAGGTCAATGCTTTACGCAGTCGCTAGCGACAACTGTAACTGTATACTCATGGTAGAGGCACTGCACATACTCTTGTCAATGTTTACAATTATGAAATGACTAGCAAATATGTAAAATGTAGTAAATAATGAATTTAGTTCATGACGAATTTTTTTTATTGGATTAGTTGGGAAAGAGGTAAGTTCGTTTAAGGTGAGCAGGAACTTTCGATTCCCTTACTATCGCAATCGCATATATTTACTATAAAAAAAAACTTGTGAACGGTATGGTAACTATTACCAAAGTCATTGCCAACAATCTGTGAGATTGTCCGCTTTGCCTCAAGGTAAGTATACCATCATTTTTAATGTTATTTTGTTACAGATAACCGTGAAATATATAGAGGGCATCCCACATTTGAACACCTAGCAAAACGTCTTCGGTGGATGGTGCTAGGAGTGAATAGGCATCAAATTACGAACGTTCCCAACCTCTCTGAACGGAGTTGGTTCCACTACTGCAACAAAGCTTGGGAAACAATCAGAAAATGCACCTTCTTCATGGAGTACGAAAGATTTCTTCCCTGAGAAAGGAAATCTGCCTTGTTACCGGATATGGTAACTTACTCTGAACATCTGTCGATAAAAAAACGCAAAAGAAACAGGTGTATGAAATGATAACGAGGGTTTATGTTAAAAGATTGTAATTAACGTAATCAACACAGCTGTGTCTAATGTTAAATACCTATCTAGTATCAATTATTATACTACATTTGTCATGCAATTACTTTATTGGACCCAATAAATGTGTAACAAAAACTGCGTATGTTTTAATAACTTATCACTGAAATACACTAGCAATAAGAGGCTTGCGTCGTTGCTCTGGAGGTTTATATGCATGCTGGTACACACTAGCCAGTCTCCAATGTTCAGGGTACCCCGTCGCGTTTGCGTCGCGCCAAATACTAAAAGGAGGCGCCAAAGTTGGAATAGTATAATTTTTCTTAGTATAAGGATGACGCATCTTCGGAATTTTAATACCTTTGGAATCCGTAGAACTATTATTAGAACTATTCACTGAATTTGGATTGCCAGCTTTGAAAGCGAATTTATAATCTTCCTTTTGTTTTGGTACTTGTGGTATTTTGGTGCCATTGCAAGATAAACAGGTCTTGTGCTTTACATTGTTATCCACTGAATCACTGTTTTTGTTCGATTTGTGAAAAGTCTGGGATTCGTTGGGAGAACTTTGGTGCAACTTACCCTGAGCCAACGGAGTTCTTTCATACGATTCTAAACTATTACGATTGCGCTTCATATCGTAATTCGTATTATCATGCGCATTCCAAGCCTCTTTGATAGGTTGTAATTTTTTTGGCCTCGAATCATCGCGACTAGACTTACGACTGGTTTCACTTGGAGTACCGCATCCATGTATACCGTCACATTTTGGCATCGTGGCAGACTGAGCGGAATTTCTACTACTTGTCGCCTTAGAGCCCTTTTGACTACAGTTATTATGTTGTGGACAATACTGTACTTCACAAGAGTCTTTCCTCTTTTCCTTACTCATGTCTTTTTCAAAATATGGTACAGGGTGGCGACCTTGATCCTCAGTTACTCTATTTTGTGTGAAAATAGGTTGAGAGTGAGCGTGAACGTGTTCTATATCTTCAATTGCTTCTTTTGGAGTATGCACCATAGTAAAAACGGCCGGTGCCTTGGAGCCGTTTGAACCGTCAATATGTTTTGGCGGTTTGTGTTCTTTTTTTGGATCGTCTGGCTTGAAATCCCAGCAAATGGCCAAGTCCATAAGCGACAAAGGTTTTTGGTATTGTCCTCCCAAATTTGGACCGGAAGTGGATGGACGTCTATCGTCTCCCTTATCACCGTCGGCTTTCTGAGCTTCACAAGTCTTTGGCCTATGTATACGTAGTTTTGTGCAACAGGTAGGACCGGACGCGCCGTAACCTTTCCAGCCAATAGCATACGGTTTCACTACAATATCCGAATCTCTGTGCTCCGCAATTTTTGTCAAATTTCGATATCCCAAAGTATCAGGCAGAGGCTGATGTTCTAAGTTGCCAACATGCATTCTTTTAGCGAATTCAAAATTTTGAGAAACATTGACTTGAGGTAATTTCAGAGGTTTACACCCCTTACCTTTTCTCATGTTCTCCTCTTCATCTTTCTTTGCGTTTTCTGCCACTTTTCGCCAGAATTTATCGTTTTCGTCTTCTTGAGGGCCGTGAATTTTTTCTACGGCGTCTTTAACTAACAGATCGTAACTGTCATGCCTCTTATCTGATTCTGTTAATGATCCAGGAACGTAAGGCCCGTGGCCTTCATCGTCAACTGGTTCTTTCTTCTTATAAAGATCTAAAGGATCATCTTCATTCTTACTTTCTAGATTGTCTTCATTTTTCACTTTATCTGAATTATTGTCATTAATTTGTTCCTGTTGTTGATCTGTTTTAGGGTCTGATTCCTTAAAAGCGCAGACATGAAAGAAAATACATTAACTGTTAAATTGTCACGGAAAACAATCACATCACAATAATTTTGCGTCCGCCATATTTGTGCAATGCTTATAAATCTACAATATAATGTGGTACTTTCCTCAATTAGGCATAGCTTTGTTTGTTATGGTGCGTATGGAACGGACAAACTCGTGGCTGCAAATAAAGGAAAATAAAAATTAAGAACTGTGAAAATAAAAGGTTTGTTGAAATAATGATTGTGCAACTACCTAGTACGTACAGTATAGACCACAACTAAGATATACAAAAGTCGAATTGTTTATTAAAAAAATTAAGACATTTACATAGCATTGACGAGCAGTTTAAAAAGTGAGTTTGTATACCTTAATTAGCGGCAAAGTGTACCTCCTATGAACAGCTATTATCACTTTTATCTATTACAAAGTGTGCAGGTGTTTTATAGGTGTTTACAGGAAGTAAAAAAATATATCTACTCGTGATTACAAAGTGTTATGTATGACAACCGTGTATTAATTTTCTTAAAATATCCTAAAACTTACAGAAATTAACTTTTTTTTACATTGAGTAGGTAAGTATTTATATTATACTTTTCGCTATACGAAGTTTTACGCGCAAATTTAGCCGGTAAGATGGCGTGCAAATGTGCTGGCTTACTTTGAAGGACTGTGGATCGGGAGCCTCTTCTTTTTCTGCCTTAACTTTTTGTCCGCGTGCCGCAGCACGCATGCGCGCTGCTTTCTTGGCAGCGGCTGCTTGTTTCGGCCTTTGAACACGGAGATTTAACCAATCTGGAAATCTACCTTTAGGGGGTTCTCTTTGCAACTCCGCAGCTGGAACAAAAAGTTCCAAATGCTTATTTTAATAAACAAAATACCCTACTCCAAAACTATATCACCCATAATACGCGCAGTATTTCGCTATTTCTACATAAATTGAATGACATTTTTAACAACGCAAAAGTCTTAAACGACATAAGTTTTGCGTGCAAAATAATCCATATCGATTGGTGGTTCATCTACTGTGACCCTGTTACCCGTATCAGTGCGATATGCGGACCGCTACCAGGATTTATTCAACGACAGCCAACAAACTACTTGGTAACACGATTTTATTAGAAGCACTTCCTGCTCGTCGCATTGCATATAGGTTGACAAATAAAGGGTTTTATTGCGTTGATTCCTTTCAAGGACAATCAATAAAGTTATTTTCGTAATACAATTGCTTACAAGCAAAGGGACATAGATATTTTTAGGCTTTTTCATCATTACAAATCGCAACAACATGCTTAATATGATCTTATTATGCAATATTATATGCTTGCTACATATGCTTGTTTTTCTTGTTAGCAATGATGATACGTAGATAGTTTAGACAAAAAAGAAAGCTTATATTTTGGACATAAACATAATGCCCAATATGAGGAATTTATAAACTTACAACTTACCAACTTCTCTCGTTATCTTTCTAGGCAGGTCCCAAGTACCAGTATAGTGCCCAAAACACTTCGATGTACCTCTAGGTGCACCAGGTAAGAAGTGTCCATTAATGTCGCATATAGGTTTTGAGTCAGGCCTCATTTCCATTGGACGAGGGCGAGTTGGCGCCCAGCGTGGGACCTCGAAGTTACCAAGCTTCCTGGGTGATGATGCATCGTTAAACTGTAAATTTATGTTGTTTTTTTAATTTTTTATGATATCAATTGACGGGACGAACAAGTGGTGCGCCTGGTAGTAAGCTATACGCCTATCCACAGCAGTTGCAATGTCACTCAGCGCTTTAAATCGCAAAGATCTGAAGGACACTGTCACTGCGCCCGTCTCCCTGAAACACAAGTTGACAAGTCCCATATGCCTGTAATTTCACCTGCTGGTGATTATTATTATTATTATTACTTCCGTGGACGAACTCTTTCACAAGAAGCTCCACTGCTGCGAAAAGTATATCCATATCGATTATATAAATATGTATAATTCTTATTTAATTTGCAATAATAATCATTATAGAAACAGTATAATTTTACGATACTTCGGAAAATCAATAGGACTATTGACAAAGTATACAAAGGTATGTGGAGTAGCGACTCGGGTACGACCGTTATTTTTCCACAGATATTGATGAAGAATGTATGTTAGTTTACAATTGGCTATGCCTTCTGCTTTGTCTACGTGACTGCTGGTTTACAAATATTAATTATATAAATCACACGACGAAGGAGGTTTGAATGATGCCGACACACGACCGCACGTGTTTGTGGCGACGTGGCGCGTGGCTGGGACATTATTCACGTTTCTTTTCTAATTCCTAACTACATGATTATGTAGCTAATCACTGATACGAAATCCGTGGCAAAAAAGTTTGTAGAAAATATACATTCAATTAAAAAGAAAGTTTATTTACAAAAAAATGTGTTCACTGCGTAAACAAAAAACCAAATGGTCTGGATATTGTAATATTATATTAATTTATGATATATGTATATATATACCCGTATAAAACAAAATGATGGAAGAAAAAAAAATTACTCTAAATTAAAATTATTTCTGTTACTGAAAAAAAAATTATTTTCAAGGAATCCATTTTTTAAGAAACTGAAAATATATATTTTAAATTCGCACTTTATTAATCTATACATCGGCACCAAAAAAAACCAAGAAAGTCTACACTATCGTGTCAAACCGAAACAAAACACAGTCCGTGTTATGTAATTATCTACTTCGCACCAAGAATTATGACTATTGTCAACGCAAAAGATAGTATTCATTTGTTACGAGAAATAGCTCGTTTTATGAGGTACTAATGACTCGACAGAATGTTTTAATATCTATTATGCAAAGTAAGTTAATGCTCGCTTTTACTTTATGTTATTAATCAGAAAAATTGCCTTTTTTTCTCAAAATTATCTTTATGATGTTACACAGAACTGCAACATCATAAAGAGCATACTCTCCGAATTTGCTTGAGATTATAGTCTACGAGTCATTCAATGCTAATTCAATGATACATTATTTTTTTCAAGAGGAATTAAATCTTGCATGCTTGTTCAGAAAAATGAAATACAATAGCCACGCGTTTGAGTTTTATGAAGAGCAGGTGTGAGCCCTTTGACTACCCCCTGCTGAGCAATCATCCCTTGCCAACAAAGGGTTGCAAATTATTATTTACCCCATACATCACGCCTCCGTTTGACTAAATTATAAATGCCCGCAATAATTTAGAATTATCTTGTCGAAAGTTGTATGACAAACAAAAAAATAGTTGAACGTTTGCAAACTGCCGCTGTGGCGAACGGTTACCATCCTGGTCTGTCACGTAGAGGTCCCGGGTTCGATTCCCAAGCCGGGAGAAATATTTGTATGGCCTACATTTATTTCTCTCGTGAATTTGAGTGTATTTTGTCGTTGTTTATGTGTGTGTGCCCATTGGCACCCGCGATACACGGTTTCCCTAGTGCGAGGCTATGAGAGTTAAAAAAAAATAAAATAAAACTTAGTCAAGGTGTGTGAAAAAAATGAAATCTTGTCTGTTTCTTATTTCAAATGAAAGAGACTCGCATTCGAGATTGTCCTAATCGAGATTGTCACACGTCAAATAAACTAAACATGTCCTGATTATAAAAAGATTTCATTTCGTAAATCTATTAAATTACTTTATGACGATAAAGTTAATACGATTCTTAACTGGTAATAAAATTCATATAGTTTGTTCTATATTATAAAAGAATTTGCATGCTTTTTTAGGGCATTATTGTCCTAATTTAATTAAGAAAAATAATATAAAATGATAATTTTACATAATTTTTCGTAATGAATAAGTAGTACGAGCTGTGAAATTATATTGCAGACAATTTACAACTCATCATTTAACCTCTGAAAAAGAAATTAAAAATTAAGAGAACAACAATATTTATGTATGAAATATAACAGAGCTCATATCCTGATGTTCTGAAAACAATATTAAGTAATGTACCAAATTTTACGTCTAGACAAAAAGGTTGAAATGATAAAAATTGCAAAATAAAATTCAAAATTTTGTAGCTGTTTTTCTGCATTGATAGTAGGTAAGTTTGATGCACAATCTCTGTGATTTATTTTTACTTCCAGCATATTTTTTACACTCGACCTAGTTCGTTGCCCGCGAGTGTAACTTGTTCAAGTGGTTATATGAGACTAGTGATAACGATTTATCTACCGCAGATACTATTTTACAGTGCTATTTTAATGACTAAAAGTCAATAAAGATCTAAAAGGAATATTTCATGTTCTACTTCTAGCACTAATCTGCAAGTGGCACCAAATCGAGATATTGGCACCTAACGTTTTATTGCCACATAAAAAATGTCAATCCGATTTTGCTTAACAATAAGTACTTAAATTTAAAAAAATGTATTAGATCGATATGTGGAGCTCACTTCCGAGAGTCGTGCGAACCTCTATTCAAAAAGCTGAATATCCCCCACTCCCATGCATTTACATAAAGCAAATAGCCACATTTGTAAAGCAGTACCCAGAATTCTTTAAGACATGGAAACAATTAAATATTAGACAACATCATCTCCGACAGCATTTTGATAATTTGTTACGTGTACTATGTTATCAATTAACGAGTACAGAAAGTGGTCCGTTCTTATGGCCATAACATAAAGATTTAACTTGCTACACAGTGACCGAAAAGTGTTGCCACTAAATGCGTTTAGACAAAAGATACCTAAATATAATGTTATAAACGGTTGTTAGTACTCCGTAAAAGAATTTCTCAACGGCAAAAATAACTCGTAGAATAATGTAATTTGTGAGATGGTAAAACTATCTATTTATTTTAAATTTCATAACAAGAATGTTAATTTGGATGTATTGCTTTATAATAATAGGTAAAAGTCAGTGTGTGAATATGAAGGAAATGTGATATTAAAATCATCAGCGTGCAAAATTTGTATATACAATCCATTTTTTGCATTTCAGTAACCTTGCGATTTAAGATACGAGTTTGAGAAAGTAAGGCGATGTTATGTAATTAAATATGGCAGTAAAATTTTAATGGCAATGTAATATTGACATCCTGGACATGGTATAATTTAAATACTTTGACATACATTAATACAATAATACATTTTAGTGCAATAACCTAAATAATAACCATAATTTATAGTAATTTTGTTTTACGAGAATATATGTCCGCCATTATCGGTAGATTTTTTGTGATACCATATATTTACTGTACACTAAATTGTGTGATACCGAAAAGTCTCACAAATAAACATTTTTCATTTAATTTCATAACTAAATAAAATATTAAAAAAGCTATTACGAGCGTTGTAAGCGTTGTAGATCTCGTTTTGCTGATCTCAGATATTACGCTAAAAGAGTTGATTAGGTACGTTAGTTATAATAAGGAGGGGAGCAATGTTTTTCGACGATTATATCAACCAAAGAAACAGTTTTCAACTTCACTTAAGCCAAATTGAAAACGCCCAAAATAGTTACTGCAAACGGACAAAGATAATTACTTTCTATTTTCTACGGCCTTGAACTTTTCCTGAATAGTGATATGCTTAAAACTGTCTAATCATTATCTGTTTCGGTAACACTTCAATAGGAATATATTCGTAAAAACAGAAAAGAATCAACTGTATGGATTATCATTCGTTTTCAAATGTGGCATACACACACGTAGTTTATATACCAATTTTTTTTTTCTAGGACAGTTATGAGGAATTCTTACGGGGTTTTTTATAGATTTTTTTTTAATATACTTGTTTACATTTTCGGCTATGATTCTATAAATATATAATATAAATATGAGTTAAGAAAGTGTTCATATTGACAGAATAAAAGCTGTCCAAAGACGGTTCCTCCGCGCAAAGTTTGGAATGCGTAGGACACTTACGAGGTAAAACTAAAATATTTTAAGACGAACCCTCCTCAGTCCAACGTGTGATACTGGACTATTCCATACTTTTTAAGATTGTAACTCAATTGTGTTCTTAAGCCATGTCTGGCATGTTTGGCAGTTAACGCACCCAAAAAACTTTTTCTCGATCATGTACCACAAACAATTTACTTCGCAAATGCCGTGCGTGGAATGCAAATTTAATGTATGTTTACTTTAACCAATTTCACAGTTTGTATTCTGTAGCTATATTATAAAATAATTAAATTAATCGACTTAGTTTCTAATCTATCATATCACTGCATCGGAGGAAAAAAATGAGACCAAGAATGTTCCTTTGTTACATTTAGAAGGCATTTTTCATCACAAGTAATGATAAGGTTGAAAAAAAGTTTTTTTATTTATCGACTTAGTGGGCCGATATTTATAGAGTTAGTAGAAATGGGCCTGCATTGCATTACTTGGTTTCATGTATATCTACAATACTGTCAAATTCGTCCATAGTGTGTGCTGGATCGGCTTCGCCGCTTGTCATTATTTATCCAGCTACAGCTGCGATCTTCGACGCGACTTAATTATCAGGAAAAAAATTCCATTACGG